CTCGCTGTTTCTGTTTCTTTATCTGAGAAGAGTGTACTCATCTCAGATGCCCTTTTTTGAACTGGATCTTTAAATTTGGGGTGGGTCTGATTTTTCTCAGTTCTTTTTGTGTCTTGGATATGAGTCCTTTGTCTGAGGGACAACTGGATGAATTTTTTTCCCACACTGTGGGTTATCTTTTCACTGTATTGGCAATTGCTTTTGCTGTGCAAAAATGTTCTAGTAGGTTGAGAACCCAGTTAGTGATTCTTGGTAGTACTTCTCATGTGATCGGGGCTTTGTTCATGAAGTCCCCGCCTACGCCTGTATCTTCAAGAGCTCTACCTGTTCTTCCTCCCAAAAGATTTAGTGTTTTGGTTTTAATATTTAGATCTTTGGTCCACTTCAATTTTAATTTAGTGCATGGTGATAGATATGTGTCTAGTTTTAGTCTTTGGCATGTGGAAAGCCGGTTTTTCCAGGGCCATTTATTAAAGAAGCTATCTTTCTTCCAGTGAAGGTATTTGATTCCTTTGTCAAAAATAAGGTGACAGTGTATTTGGAGTTGTTTCTGCATCTTCTAATCTATTCCATTGATCTTCAAGCCTGTTTGTTTTGTTTTGTTTTGTTTTGTTTTTGTGTGTGTGCCGGTACCATGCTTGTTTTGTTTTGCTTTGTTTTTAATCACAGTAACTTTGTAGTATAATTTCCCGTCAGGGATTGTGGTACCCCTGACTTTCCTTTGTTGTCTAGAATTGCTTTTGCTATTCTAGGTCCCTCCTGGTTCCAGATGACTTTTAGGATTGTTTGCTCTAATTCTGTGAAGTAGGCTAATGTTACTTTGATTGGGATTGCATTAAATCTGTGTGACAATTTTGAGAGTATGGCCATTTTCACTATTTTGGTTCTTCCTGTCCTTTAGCAAGGGATGTCTTTCCATTTTCTGATATCCTCTTTGATCTCCTTTTTCAGAGTACTGTAATTTTCAGTGTATAAATGTTTCACGTCCAGTGTTAGTTTGATTCCTATTTCATTCTTTTTGATGCTATTATAAAAGGTATTATTTCCTTAATTTCTCTCTCAATGTGTTTGTATACAGAAATGCTGTTGATTTTTGAGTGTTGACTATGTATTCAGCTACAATACTGAATTTGCTGAATAAATTTCCAAGTCTTTTGGTGGAATTTTTGGAGTCTTCTATGGAGAGCATTATGTCATCTGCAAATAATGGTAATTTTTCCTTTCCTATCCATATTTTTTTTTTTCCTTTTCTAATGCTCTGGCTAATGTTTCCAGAGCTTTATTGACTGGGAATTGTGATGATGGACATACTTGTCTTGTTCCTGATCTTAGAGAGAAAGCTTTTAGTTCTGAACATTTGGTATGATCCTGGCTGTTGGTTTGCCATAGGTGACGATTGAGAAAAGACCATCTGTTCTAATTTTCTTTAGGGTTTTTATCATGAATGAGTGTTAGACTTTGTCAAATGCTTTTTCTGCTTCTATGGCATATATTTTCTTCTATATACATGGCTCCTAGGCTTTCTTGGGATGGGCTGGAGGTTTAAGATTGCATTTTGGTCTTTCGTTTTGTCATTTTCCTGTATTTCCATGTTTCAAGTGTTGTTCCAAGCTTCCCCTGGGTGTGTTGGAAATGGTCTCTTATGCCCTGGGCTCCTAGGACTGATTGGAGGTGGCTGAGTGTGGTCCGGTCAGACCCTCAAGCCCTCCCGTGCCACCTCCAGTTTCCAGGAAGCTGGGCAGGCACCTAACCACTGTGGATGATGGTTTAAAGCCCTCCCTGGGCAAGGACCAGTGCCCTGGAACTCACTTCACATGCCCTCTACTCCCCTGATTGAAGAAGGTTGCTGAACATGGCCCAGGCAGGCCTGAAATCTGCTGAGTCCAGCGTAGTGTGGCTGGGAGCTGGGCAGTCCTTGACCACTGGGATGATGATCTTTTTTTTTTCTGCTCCTATTGAGCTGATCATTTTGTCTTTAGCTCTATTAATATGGTATATTACATTTTCTAGTCTGTGAATGTTGGACCATCCCTGCATCCCTGGGATGACTCCAGCTTGGTCATGGTATGTAATCTTCTCAATGATTTGCTGCATTCTGTTTGCCAGGATCTTATTGAGGGTTTTTGCATCTATATTCATTAGGAAGATTTGCCTGTGGTGTTTTTGTTGTTGTCGATGTTGGGGAGGGCTCCTTCTCTGGTTTCGGTGGTGGCATGACACTTGCTTCCAAGAATGAATTTGGGAGTATCGCTTCTCTTTCAGTTCCATTAACGAGTTAGAGAAATAGCAGCCTTAGCTTGTCTCTCGGTTTCCTGAGCAGTGAATCCTTCAGGCCTGTCCTTTTCTTTGTTGGTAGATTTTTAATTACATCTTAAATTTCATTGATACTGAGTTAGCATCAGATGGTTTATCTGAGCTCATTCTGTTTTCCTGTATGTGAGAACTCACCACTATAAATTTCCCTCTTAAAACTATTTTCAATGCATCCTGTAAGTTCTGGGTATGTTTTTGACATTATCATTTAATTGTAGATACTGTTTAATTTCTTCTTTAACTTCATCTGTGACCCATGGTTGTTTAGGAGACTGTTATTTAATTTCCATGTGATCATGTAGTTTTGGTGGTTTGTTTTGCCTTTGATTTTCGTTTTCATTGCAGTATGGTCCAATGATATGCATGGGATAATTTCAGTTCCTTTGCATTTACTTAAGCATGTTCTATGGGCTGGTATGTGGTCTCTTTTGGAGAACATCCCATATGCAGCTAAGAAGAACAATGTAAGTCTGATGTTATGGGGTGGAACACTGTAACATCTACTAAGTCCATTTGTTAAAAGTTTTGGCTCAGTTCTGATATTTCTTTAAAATTCTTTTTTTTTTTTTTAATCGGTACCCGGGATTGAATTCAAAACTGCCTGCTTGCAAGGCAGGCGCTTATGCTGCTGAGGTAAATCCCCAGCCCCCCTAGTTATGATATTTCTTTGTTGATTATTTTGTCTGTTTGTAACTGGGGTATTAATGTCCTCCATTACAATTGTGTTAGTGTTTATTTGCTTTTTCATTTCCATTAATATTTGTTTTATGTAGTTGGATGTACCAGTATTTGCTGTATATATATTTATGATTGCTTTCTCTTCTTCTTACAAGTGTGTAAGTTCATAGTTCTTAACAAGTATGCACTGACCTTTTTTTGTCTCTTTTGATCAGTCTTGGCTTGTCTGGCACATTGTTTTCCAGCCTTTGACTTTTAGTCTGTGAGTTTCTTGTTGAGTTAAATGTGTCTCTTGTGTGCAAGATATTGTTGGGTTTTGCTTCTTGATCTGTTCTGCCAGTCTGTTTCTTGCAGCTGGTGAATTGGTGGTGGTTTTGCCACTGAGGTTCGTTTTCTTGCACTGTGGTCCAGTGATGGTTATAATATAGTGATTTGTCTTTTCTCAAACCATGTTTAAATTCAGTTCTGATGCTGAATTTCTTGAATCTTGCTATATTCCTTCGTGTAGATTCATTTTGATCATGACCAAATACCTCATTTATTTGCATGTCCAATTCTTTATCTGTGTTTGAGAAGTTTTCTGCTGTTGCTTCTTTGAAGTGTTTTATGGCGGTTATGCTATCTCTGGCTTTTTCATTGACCCCCATCAGACTTGGGTGGTTCTTTTTGCTTCATCTTGCAGCTATTGGATTAATTTTTTATGGTCTTTTGCTTTTTTTAAAGACATCTTTTTCATGGTGACTACCCACAGTTATCTTCTAGATCTGACATTGTATCCTCACCTTTATTCACTCTGTTGCATATACCTTCAATGGGGATTTTAATCTCCTGAATATCTGTTTGCATCTGTTTTATGGATTCCATTTCTTTCTTGTTGGACATTAGTGATTTTCATCATTTTTCTAAACTCCTTTTTTTTTTTCTGTGTCTACTCTAAATTCATTGAGCATATCTTTCATTTTGATCATATACCTTTTTTTATGTGAGACTTTTTTTTTTCTATATAACCTCATCCATTTGTTTTTTCTTTCTTTTTTTTTTTTTTTTTTTTTTTGTCTTTTTCCTTTTTATCGGTACCAGGGATCGAACTCATGACTGCCTGCTTGCAAGGCGGGCGCTTATGCCGCTGAGCTAAATCCCTAGCCCCTGTTTTTTCATTTCTGCAGCTATCATTTCAGCAAATTGCAGCTCATAGCTTGTGATTTCCTCTATCTCATTACACTCGGGACTTTTCTGGGGTAGGCTGGAAGTCTGAGTTGCATTTTTCTTCTGTATATTCTCATTTTCTATTTTATTTTTATTTTTTAATTTAATTTAATTTGTGTGTGTGTGTGTGTGTGTGTGTGTGTGTGTGTGTGTGTGTTGATACTTTAATGGTAGCTTTATCACTAGTCTGGAGGCTTCCTTAGGAAGTGTCTGTTCCTCAGAGATGTTTTCTAGGTGTAGGTGGTTCTTGGTCTTTGTATCTATTCCAAGAACCTACCTTCCCAATTTATTAAGGATGAGACATTGCTATGTATTTCACCTAGCACCCAGTGCTTTGATCCTGGAATATGATGATGCTTATGGCCCCAGAACATTACAGTGTTGTCATATGAAGGAGAAAACTGATTAAACAGGTCCAGTATCCTAGCTAAGGTGTTGCAACAGCAATAACGTCAAGCACAGCCTCGCAGCCGACAAACTGTACTAACCATTAATGTGGTGCCTGTAACCAGGAACAAGCTCTACATACCAGCAACTTGTGTGCAGTGAGCCTCCCCTTAGTGGAGTGATTTTTATTCCGTGGGGGTAGGGTGACGAGGGACAGGACAAACAGAGAGATGGAGGAGGAGAAGTATAGTAGAAGCAACACTGGGGGGCACAGGATGCTTACCCAAGTTTTGGGAAACTAGAGAAGAGTGCAGGAGAAAAAGAATGAGAAACAAAGCCGAAGAATATTGACGTCAATGTGAGCTGCCTGAGCCTGTGAGCCCTTTTAACCTGCTTGTCTATTGACCTGTTGGCAGGGGATTTGTACACGAGAGCCGGCATAACCTGCAGCTCAGGGGCCTGGTGGTGCTCCTGATCTCTAAAGCAGCGGGGCCCAGCGGCTTGGACACTGCATGTCAGAACGATGACATGGTCAGCGGGATCTACTCATGGTAAGAACGAATTAGCCTATGCCATTGCTGCTTTGTGTGGTACTGGGGGTTGAACTCGGGGTCTTGTGCGTGCTAGGCGAGCACTCTACCACTGAGCCACATCCCCAGCCCTGTCTTTAGACTTTTACACTACAGTGCTCAGTGGGAATCACTGTTTAGTTCTTTATCATTTTCTGATTCCATAACAGATTAAAGTTTATTGCTGATTTTTGAAAATAGATTTTTCCTTTTCTTAGTTGGTTCATGCATCCTCTTGATACATTTCTCCACACATCTGTGTCAAATACTTTCATTTCTACTTGGACAGAAGACTAAGAGTTAGGAGGGGCAGGGTAGGAGATAAAGAAAAAAGAATTATAGTGATTTGTTATGTACATGTATCGACTCTCAGTGATAAATGTGATCATTATGTACCATAAATGTAAATTCATAAGTATACAAGTATTACTCATTTTTGCATCATTCATATGAACTTAAATTTTATAATGAACTTAAAATTTTCAGTTTTATTTTGAAAAATCACTGTATGTATTTTTTGTAACAGTATATCAGCAATAATTTGGTTTAGTCCTACCAGTATGGTTGGTTGGCACTGAGTACAAGTAGCTATCTGCAGGTGGACTTTGGCTTATGAAATTACAACTACCGGGGCCGGGGTTTTAGCTCAGCAGCATATGCGCCTGCCTTGCAAGCAGGCAGTCGTGAGTTCGATCCCTGGTACCGATGAAAAGGAAAAAGACAAAAAAAAAAAAAAGAAATTACAACTACCCTAAAAATATGATGACAAGGAAGTTTTCCTCATAAAAAGTATTTCTAGAAACTTTAACTTATGGCTAATCAATTTTATTGATTTACTTGAAAAATTAATCCACATTCAGTTTTTTTTTTTAAGTTTTTATTATTTTTGTGTGTGTGTGGTTTTTTGAGACAGGGTCTCGCTGTGCAGTTCAGGCTGGCTTTGAGCTCACTTTGTAGCCCAGGCTGGTCTTGAACTCACCACGATCCTCCTGCCTCAGCCTCCCAAGTGCTGGGATTACAGGCATATTGTTTCATTTTAAAGAGAAAAAAAATAAAGTTTCAAAACAAGATAATAGGAAAGTACCAATGGTTAGTACATTGTATGTTACTATCTTTACATTAATTACTCGGAGTACAAGATATAGGCATTTAATTACCCAAACAATAACGGCAAAAACTAAGAGAAATTAGTAATATAACCATCTTAATCTTTTTTTATTCTTAGCAGTCTTGTCGATAAATATTTTTTCCTGTAATATTTTGAGATCACTCTTGCTTGCCAGCTCTAAAGTGTAGTGATCCTTCCTCATTAACAAACAAGTAAAAATGATTACAGTCATGGCTGCAGACCGCTCCTCTACCTTTCTCATTTTCTCTATACCTCATACAAGTATATTAGCCATACAGATAGCTTCACGCAGAGGGCTATCTTGGAATCATTTTCCATTCCTACTCATCCTGTAATTTGTATTTGCTCAGGGACTGGAGATTTAGCTCAGCGGCATAAGCGCCTGCCTTGTAAGCAGGTAGTCATGAGTTCGATCCCCGGTACCGATAAAAAGGGAAAAGATAAAAAAAAAAAAATTATATTTGCTTAATCCTTTTGGGTTACTAGTCATTTTTCATGACAGTTACCTCATTTGATCCTTATAATGCCGTAGGTGACAGTTGTTACTTTACTGGTGAGAAAGTTGAGATTCCCAAACCTTGAGTTTTTTCAGGTGGTACAGTTAGTAAATGGGGAAAGTTGTAACACTAACTGGGATCTCCTCTCTCTTTCAAATCTTCTCTCTTTCAATTCGAATGTGTCTTTTCCTCTTTATTGTATCTTCCAAAGAATTTATTCTCTTGTAGATCTGACTAGCTATTAAATTAGTATACAAAAAAAAAATCTTCTCCTTATAAGAATGTCTTTTAAAGCTTACAAACAGAAATCAACTTGGAAAGTTTTTAGTAAATGTACATCTTTCCCCCAAACCTATTGAATTACATCTCAGAACTTTACCATACAGATTCGGTAGGAAATTCATGGTTGGATTCTGCTGAAATTACTGGAGACAATTTGAAGTGACTGCTGACCACAGGAGTCCCTGGAAAGCAAGTGACCCTCACATTATCCAATATCCCGTGTACCTCTGTTGCAGTTAGGAAGTCCATTGATTGGTCAGCCTGCTGACTTTGACTGTGGCTTGTCAATCATCTGCATATAAATTTGGGTAACTACACATGCCTGATGAATGCCAGTTGTATTTTGTTTTAATAACCCTTGGAAAGTATTACTTAGTACCTAGTCGGTGTTTGATACTTGTTGCAGAAGTGAATCATCCTAATTTTTCAGAAGAGAGAGCCATTTCCAAAGTTAAAATTTGTCTTAAAATCTTCCAGCTGAAGTTTTGGGATTTATGTCCTATTTTTATGGAGTCATTCGACAGTTGAGGTGTTGTTGTCTGTGTGTACATGCTATATTATGATGTCACTTTATATTTCTAATTTCTTATCTAAGAAACAACTGCATTGCTTCAGATCCTTCCTGTAACATGTTTGATAGATGGTCATTGTAACACGAGCAATCTGAGCACAGGAACTTTGGGAGAAGGTTTGCATTATGAACATAAAAACTTTCTAAATAACGTCAGTGTGTTTCCCATTCAAATGTGTTAAATCCACACACACTGTTAGGGCATAGTTCTGTCACATAGTTCCAAGTTGTTTTCTGCAATCAAACTTGATATAATAGTCAGCCAGTGGTGTGTTTGAGTGTGTTGCACACTTGTGAATGTGAAAAGGTCATTTGTTACAGGACTTGGAGAAGCCGTTAATTGATTTCTCTACTGGAAGTCTTTTGTTTGGCTCTTGCTTCCTTAATTGTTCCAGTATAACTTTTGCTGGAGGCTTGCACCTAAAATGCCACAGTGAATTATTTAACAGTTGAGAGAAATAGTGATTTGGGAGCTCTGTCATTCTCCTCCAGACCGCTGGGATTTAGACCGTTGGTGCTGTGCTCTCATAAACCCGACTTTGATGGCAGATAAGGGGACCTGTGTAGATTTCCTCAGGGACTAAAATGAGTGAGGTGGTCTGTTTAATTTGGCCTAAGGACCTAGCTGGTGCTGTGGATATGTCCAGTGAACCTATCACATGATGGCCAAGAGAGGCAGAATTGAGGCCAAAAGTAAGAACTGCACTGTGAAAAACAGACAGGAGACACACATTTATAAACACGTACTACACTTACCCACCATAGCCTTCGGCCAGCAAGACCTTGGGCTTAGGATTTAGTCCACCAACCTATACTGTATTATTACTAAATATACAAGTATTAAATACGCTTAGTACATGTATTACATTTTACAAGTATTTAATTTACAAGTATCTCTACCCATAATTGATAAAACAATTCACTCTGTGCCAAAATATTCTGTCATCAATAGACAATATCCTATTGATCATAGAATATTTTGGCACATATATAAAAGATAGATTGTTAGGGCTGGGGATTTAGCTCAGTGGCATAAGCACCTGCCTGGCAACTGTGAGGTTGCGAGTTTGATCCCCGGTACAAAAAAAAAAGATAGATTGTTAACATATCTAAATAACAGATAATATTAAAAATACAAACTTTGAGAATGTAATATGATTATTAAGTTCAAAGAAGTTCAGGTGAATGTTTTGACTAAGGTTCAATCTTCTCTGTTGTTCTACAAGAACTGACTGAGTTCATTCTTCCCTAGCTGACTACAGACTGAATACATGTTCCCTCTACCCTCATTCTTTGAAATTCCAAATGCCTGAACTGTAGCAGAGAAACCAAAGCAAATATACCAAACACATTTTCTTTTCTTCCTGAGTACCCGACTGGACTGCGTTTCCCAGCTTCCCTTGGGTCATACAACTGACGTCTAGCCAACAGAGTATGAGCAGAGGTTGTGTTTTCTATTTCCTAACCACAAAACTCTTGCATTCATGTTTCTTCTTAAGTGGATGATCTTGAAGGTGGTCTGTTCACGATGAAAAATGCTTACATCCCTAAGTCATTCTTGGAAGAGAATCACCTGCCCATCAGGGTCATCAATGTTGATTTAATGTTTGACAGGGAAAATATTTTTATTAAGCCACTTAAATTTTAGGTTCCAGCACTCTAGAAAGCTGAGACAGAAAGTCTGCAAGTTTAAACCCAACCTGGGCGAGTTAGTGACTTAACAAGGCTTTGTTTTAATATAAAAAGGTCTGGGATATAGCCCAGTGCAAAGGCCATGAGTTCACTCCCTGCAGAGGGCTTAATCTGTTAACAGCGGTGAATGTTATCTTACTGTACCTTTACTGTTTCTGTTAGTGCTGCTATTGCATCACCTGTTTCCCTATCGGTCTGGTAATCTTTGATTGCTCCCACCCTTTTACTTCCCATCACAGTAAAGCATCCACTCACAAGTTTTTTCAGGTCTCCTTTTCTTTCAGTCGCTTTCCCTCTGCAATTCAGGCCTCTGTTACTCCATGTGCTGACTTTAATGATAGCTGTCTTCTGGTCTCCCTGTCTGTAGATGCTCCCCCACCCACTTTTACCTCTTAGGTCTTGCTTGATTGAACACCCCAAAGTCCTGCTTTCATTGCTCATAAAATAAATATTTATTAAGCATTTACTAGGTGCAAGCCCTGAGCCTATTGCGGGTGATATAAGCTGAACATTGAGGGCATAGTGTTGGCCCTTAGTACTCTTAGCATCGAGCCAAGGAATGTGCAGGTTTTCACCGCCCATGATCCAGTGTTGCAGAGGGGAACGAGTCCTGTGGAGGAGCGAAGGGTACTAGAGGAGGAAAGGAGAGAGAGATTGTTTAGTGGGGACCTTTGGGGCCTTATAAAGTAGGGTTATTGGTGAGCTTTGAAGGCAGCTAGGAGGTCGTCAGTCGTAGGAAAGCAGATGAGTGGGGCTTGGTCGTGTTGCAGGAAGAGGAAGCAAGGAACCGGCAGTACCAGCCAGTGCCCAG